TTATGGGAATGCCCCTGTTCCGTCCCAGCCCAGGCCTGGCCCTGGTGTGATCAGAGGAAGGACTGCTGCTTTCTCCTTGTTGCCATCGCTTGCTGGGCTTGGTGCTGGCCATGGCATCACAGGGGCTCAGTGGCTCAGCACGGCAGGGGCCGGAGCTCTGGTGCTTCACCCTCATTTGATCACTGCTGCCGGTGCTGCTGCCAGGACCTTGCTGTGCCCGCACCCCCGTGAACCCCCAGCTCACTGCTATGTCCCAGGCTGCTCCTGCCTGGGGCTGGTGCTGGGCCTACTCTGCCTTGCCTTCCCCAGCTTGCTCTGTGCACTCGGTGCCATCCCTGGGGCAGGGCACCACCACCCACGCCAAGAGGCACGTGGTGGAGCAGAGGGGTATTTCACAGGGTATTTCACATGCTGGCACCAGCTGTTTCTCCCCTCTGCCCCCAACTGCGTCCTCCAGCCCCCTGCCTGCTGCTAGCCCCTGCTTTCCATGCCCCACAGCAGGCAAAGTGCAGCGCTGCAGCTGTGCCCCCATTCTGCTGTCACCCATCCTGTTTTCTGTGTCCATGGCCCAGTGCAGGAGTGTTGGTTCACTGAGGGTACTGAAAAGGAGCTGCTGCACCCAGGATTGTTTCTGAGCCTGGAAGCAACCTCGAGGGGGTGAGGGCAGGGCGAGCCCACCTGGGCACCGGTCAGTGCAGAGCAGTGGTACTCGAGCTGTTGGGCAGGGAAGGACGGCAGCTGGCAGCGGCGCTGTGCCCATCCATGTGCAGCGCCACCCTCAGGGCGGCAGCTCCCCTCCTTTCTGCAGAGGGTCCTGCCACCTCCTCACCCACGGGGGGCCGTGCCCAGCACCCCCAGACTGCAGCTTTTCAGCGGCTCACAGCCGTGCCCAAAGCAGGGTGACTGCTGAGCCTGCTGCTAACCTGGCCGTCGCTCTGCACCCCAGGGCTCCCACCCTCCCGAGGTGGCCGTGCCCTGCTGCCCGCGCTGTGCTGCCTGTGCCCCCTCCTGCCCAGCTGCAGTGAGGCGGCTCCGGCAGCCCGGGCTCGCTGCGATGTGGGCAGTGCTGTGGGGGTACGGGACGGGGCTGCTGCTGCCTCTGCTCAAGGACGGAGCCGAGGTGGGAGCGGTGCCACTTTGCCCGCTGCTGCGCCCACAGCCCGCCGGTCCAGTGTGCCACTACTAGAAATTGTGATACAATATACAGTATTTTCAATAGGGGAAAAACTGGGGTGGGGAGATAAGCTCTATTTTCAGATTTTTCAGACCATATATTTTTTACGGCATACTGGAAACTGGCCGGTCCCTGGGTGGTGCAGGGGGCAAGGACGGGCGCTGGGGGAGCAGCGAACTGTGGGTTCGCCCTTTGCCGACAGGGAAAGGAGAGACCGTGTCACCTGCAGGTGTGACCTGGGAGGGGGGACAGCTCAGCCCCCTCCGTGCACGGCGCCCTGCCCTGCTACAGGACTGTACTCTTCCCACAGCTGCCCTGCTGTTGCGCCTCTGGGGCTACTCGTGCAAGGAGACACCGCCACCCCCAGCCCAGCACTCTCACCCGGTGCCGTCCCGCTGTCCTTGGGTGCTCGGCAAAGCCGTTGTGCCCCTCGCAGAGTGCCCAGCAGAGCCTGGGGGCCGCGTGCCCTCCCTGCTCCTGGTGCGGGAGGACCGTGCAGAAAGGTGCCCCACGGCAGCGGGGCTGGAGCAGCGCGTTGCCCAGGGCGGGGTGCCCGCTGCCTTAACACTGTTTGCTTTCTTGAGTTCGGCCCCGCTTCCCAGCTCGCCTCCCCCCGCACCGCCGCAGGAGCAGCTCCTGTGCCATGCGCGGCCCCGAGCGCGGGGCACCCCGGTGGGTGGGGGTGCTCCGAAGGAGCCTGTACATTGCTAGCAAAAAAAAAAAAAAAAAAAGGAAAAAAAAATGAAATGTGAAAATAATGATTGTTTTAAATAAAAAATAACTGAAGCCAGCAAGGCTGGGTAACGAGCGGCAGGCAGGGGGTGGAAATGCCAACGCTGCAGGACGGGGCCGGGCAGGAGGTGAGGAGCGGCTCGGTGACCTGGGAAGGGCGGGGGCCGCAGGGGCACGGCGCTGGGGGTATCGCCCGGAGCCCGTGCGCTGCTGGCGGGGGGGCACGGAGCGCCGCGGGCACAGCAGCCCCCGGGCAGAGCCGCCCTTTGCCGCTCCGCTGCGGTCGTGGGGCCCCGCGACGGGGCGGCCCCTCCGTGCCGTGGGGCCACGCGTGGGTGGGAGCGGGAGCACCCCGGGGAGGAATGTGGGTTGGGAGGGGCCGCAGCTCCGGCACGGGCTTGCGGCACAGTCAGCGCTCAGCCGCCGCCCAGCATGGACGAGAAGCCCGAGATCCAGCTCTTCGTCAAGGTGAGGACCCGCACGGGGCCGCGGGTCGCGGCTGCCGCTGCCTGCGAGTGCCGAGGTCGCCAGCGTTGCCGTCAGCGTCCGAGCGCTGCCACGGCCGCCCCGGGGGCTGCATCGGAGCGCGGCGGCTGAGCTCTGCCTTTGCCCGCAGGCGAGCGAGGACGGGGAGAGCGTGGGGCACTGCCCCTTCTGCCAGCGGCTCTTCATGGTGCTGCTGCTCAAAGGAGCGCCCTTCACCCTCACCACCGTGGACACGAAGAGGTGAGCGGTGCTCCGCGACGCGCTGCCGGCCTGGGGGCGCGGGGTGGGACAGCCCTGCTCCGTGCACCGGCCCGGGGGGTGGTGGTCTCACTACGTGGGGAAGGGGCTGAGGACGCTTGCTGTACCCCCTGGCTGCCCACCGTTCCCTAAGGGAGGGCGGCGGACGCTTCTCGGGCGGAGCTGCCACGGCACACACGGGGCAGGAGCCGTGGAACGCCTCATCCTTCTGCCCGGAACAGGTCCCGGTGCGCTGCAGCGGGCGTCAGCAGCTTCCTCTCTCCTGCAGGGCACTGGATGTGCTGAAGGACTTTGCGCCCGGCGCTCAGCTGCCCGTTCTGCTCTACAACGGAGACTCCAAGACCGATACAGTCACCATCGAGGACTTCCTGGAGGCCAGGCTGGCACCCCCCGCGTCAGTGGCTGGCACTGCCCCGAGAAGGGCTAAAGAGGGGTGGAGACGCTGAGGAAGGGGCGGGGGTGGCAGCTTCCAGCCCTGCTGCCTCCTTCCCCAGCTATGCCCATGTCCCCGCAGGTTCCCCAGCCTGGTCCCGCGGTACAAGGAGTCAAGGCTGGCTGGAAACGACATCTTCCACAAGTTCTCCACCTTCATCAAGAACCCAGTGCCTGCTCAGGATGAGGGTGAGGAGCTGGGCTGCAGGTCGTGCCCATCCGTGCCGTGTGGGGCAGCGGCAGCCTGGGCCAGGCGAGAACGGTGCAGGCGCAGTGCCGGCAGAGCAGGGGCTGGAGGCTGCCTGCTGCTCTGACTGCGCACTGCTGCCGCCCCACAGCGCTGCAGCGGAACCTGCTGAAGGCTCTGCTGAAGCTGGATGAGTACCTGAGCACACCCCTGGAGCATGAGCTGGCCCGAGAGCCCCACCTCCGCACCTCCCAGCGCCGCTTCCTCGACGGCGACCAGCTCACGTTGGCTGACTGCAACCTGCTGCCCAAGCTCAACATCGTGCAGGTGCGTGGCTGTCCCCACTGCACACCTTCTTTCCTTGCCTTGTCTCCCTGGTGCTGCCTGCCCCATGCTCTCACCTTCTCTTGGGTATTCACCTGCCACCTGCCTGCAGCAACTTCCCTTTCCCACGTGCCATCCCCTGGCTCGCTGTGCCCCCCAGATGCCTGGCACCCCACAGCTCCTGCCCAGCACAGCGCTTTCCCAGACCCCACTCCCTCTGCATCCTGCCCCTCCTCCATCCTGTGCTGTGCCAGCGATGTCCTGTTGCCCCTGGCTCCCACCAGTGAGCATCACCAGCTCCCGGCTGCAGCCCCCCGGCTCACGGCAGGCACACAGCAATGGGCTGTTTCTGCCCGCAGATCGTCTGCCAGCATTACCGCCGCTTCGGCATCCCCAAGGACCTGCAGGCTGTGTGGCGCTACCTTAACAACGCTGCTGAAACCAAGGAGTTCAAGTACACCTGTCCCAGCAGTGAGGAGATTGTGCAGGCCTACCGCTCCGTTGTCCGGTCCCCGCAGTGAGCCGGGCAGACGCCCAGGCGGGCACAGGGCCGGGCCCAGCTCAGCACCTGCCTGGTCCTGCTGCTCCCACCGCCATCCTGCCCGCACGCGCTTGGGAGGGCAGAGCATCGGCACCCAAATTTCCCCAGCTGGCACCCAAGGTACTTCACACTGAGCCTGCCAATGCTTTCTTGCTTCTCACGTCACCCTCTCTGCTTGGCCGGGACACCCTCGACCCACCCTGCGGTCCCTCAAGCTTTAAGGATGGGTACAGCCACGGGCACCGCTTGAAACAGAACTGGACGATGCAGAGGAAACACTGGGGGCTGGGGAAGAAAACCTGCCTGGAGGGCAGTGCACTGCAGTGGGAATCCCTGCAGCCTCCCACCACGCGAGCTGCCCTAAGCAGGGCTGTGGCCAGGACAGCTGGCACTGCAGTGTCTGTGAGCAGCAGCACAGGGTGAGGGGAACAGGCACAGGTGTGGCAAAGCCCTGGGAATGGAGCTGGAGGGGACACTGCAGCACCCAGCCCTGTCACCACTGCCCTGGCAAGGGGAGCAGAGGGCAATGTCCCACCAGGACTTGCTGCTAGGAAGCTCTCTGGAGCAGATTTGGGACAGGGATGGGGATGAAATGGGGAAAGTCCAAGCCATGCATCAGAGCACTTGGAAATCAATAAAGGCTTTGCAAGTGAGACAGGAGTATGTCTGCAGTGACTTGCCGCTGTAGCTGCCCCCTTCGCATGGCTTGGCTCTTTGGGAGGGTGGAGAGGCTCTCACCAGTCACCCACCCATCACTGGCACAAAACTGGCGAGAAAGTGCACTCTTTGGAGCCTTTGAGCTTCCAGATTGAGCTGAAATTGGCTGCTGAGCAATAGAAGTGTAGAATGAAATGACACACACACTGTCACGCTGGCCGGGTACCCAGACCTGCTGGCCAAAACCAGAAATGAGCTTTACTGGCAATAAGTTAAGCACAGACAACCTTTAAAAAATATCTTTTGATATTCTTTTAAAAACCCCAGCAACTCATAGCAAGTGGGGCAGAGGGGTGGCACCTGTCAGCAGGGAAAAGCTGCAGGGCGAAAAGCCACCACTTTGTCACCGCTGCCTCGCCTGCCCCCAGAGTGTGCCCCAGCACAGCCCAGGAGCTGCTGCCCACCAGGACCAGCCGGTGCCGCCTGCCCCAGGCAACCCAGCCCTGCATGCATTGCACCTGCAGAGCAGCATGGTGCAGGCAGACCTCAGTGGCCACACGTGGATGACAAGGCTGCTGTTGGGAGGATGGAACAGCGCAGGTCATGAGTCTTCAAAGTCCACTCCAGATGGAACAGACTTGCTAGAAAAGGATACAGGGAGTCACACCAAGGTGTGCACCCTGCAGAGCACAGCCCAGCAGATCTCAGGCCCAGCACCGGGCTGTGGAGCAGCATGTACCTTTTGAAGCCAGGGTTAATGAGGGACTCTCCCGGGATCTTTCTCTTTACTGGCAAAGCAGAGCCAGCAGCCCTGTTCTTTCTGGGGCTCGGGTCTGCCTCAGACGGGAGGAGGGACAGGGAAAGCAAGAGGTCAGCGGGGGGCTCTGGCAGCCCTGCAGGCCCTTCTGAGCCCGGAGAGCAACTATGGCAGCAACAGTGGGTGAGGAAGGCCCGGGGGAGCTGCCGGGGCCTTCAGCCTGGGAGAGTATCAGTGCCGGCCCTCCCCTGCAGCTGGGCACACTGCCTGCCCACTGATGCACCTCACACCTCGGGAGCTGCCGCGCTGAGCCGGGCCCCTCCTGGGCCAGGGAGGGCACTGACAGCAGTGCGGGCAGCAGCCACGGCAGAGGAGGCTCAGGACCCTGGGGGGCTCCCAGTCCCCGCAGCCTCCTAGAGGATGAGAAAGCGAACAAATGTGCAGCACAGCCCCCAGAACCGCTCACCTGGCAGGATGGGCTGCTGGCTCTGGAGGGCGTTCTTCTCAGGGCTGTAGCTCAGCGTGCCCAGCACTGTGTGACAGGAGCAGGGGTCACAGCTCACGCCTGCATCTTCCTAGCACTTCCCTGCCCGGCCATTCCCTGCCCTGCACGGCCATACGGCTCCCTCCTCCCGCACACCTCCACGCGGGGACCTCCCCACCAGGAAGGCACTTCTGCGCACGGAGGTGTCCCGAGAACACGGCTGTGCTGCTGCACGCAGAGCGTGGCTTTGCGCGAGGGATCTCCTGCCCGAGGTTCTCCGCACGGCGCCGCCCGTGGGCACACGGCATCCGCAGCAGGAGAGACGGATGCTGTAAAGACCCCCCCCCCCTCTCGCGGGGCCCCTCCGACGGCCGCGAGCCGCCCGCCCCTCTCCCCCCGCCCCGTCCCGCGGCCGCACCTTCCAAGCGCTCCTCCAGGTCCCGGACGCGGGCGGCCATGGCGAACAGCAGCGCCTGGAGCTGCGGCCGCGCCTCGGCAGCGGGCAGCCGGGGAAGCAGCAGCGCCTCCTGCCCCTCCCGCAGCCGCAGCGTGGCCGCCCCGTCCCGCAGCCCCAGAGATACGGCCCCGCGGCCCAGCGCTGCCCTGCTGGGATGGAGCCGCAGTGAGCCGGGTCCCCAGCCCGGTGGGGATGGACGGACGGACGGACGGAAGTCCCGGGTCCCCCTCACCCGCCGGGCGCCCACCTGAGCTCCGCGAAGCCGTCCTCCGGCGAATCCCCGCCGAACCGCGCGGCCCACATCTCCAGCGCGTCGGTCACACTGCGGGGCAGAGGTTCAGGCCGGGGCTCATCGCCCCCCCGCCCCGCTCCGCCCCACCCGGCACTCACTAGACGGTGGCGGCCGAGCCGGGGCCAGACGCGGGGCGGCAGTAGCAGAGGTAGCGGTCCGCACCGTCCCGCAGAACTCCGAACGGCCCCGACGGCTCCGCCATGGCAGTGCCGGAAGGGGCGGAGCTGCGGGAACTGCCGGCCCCGTGATGGTGCGCCTCGGGCTGCGGCGGGTGGAGGACAGCGTGGCCGCCAAACACCCGGTGCGTGCGGGGCGGCGAGGCCGGGGGGAGCGGGACGGATGGGGTCGGTGTCGCCGCGCTGACGCTGTCCCCGCAGGCGCTGCAGCAGTACGCGGCGTGCCAGGCCCACGCCTTCATGAAGGGCATCGGCACCTTCCTGGCAGGTACGGCCGCGGAGAGACGCGGCGGGCGCGGCTGCCCGGTGCTAATTGCTCCCCGGCCCTGACGGCGCCGTGGCCGGGACCGCCCGGCTCGCTGTTTGGGCAGGCGGCGGCGCTGCTTTTGCCGTGCAGAAGCTGGTGAACAAGAGGCTGCCGTACGCGCTGCAGTGGAACCTGCTGCTGTCTGTGGGTGAGTGCCCCGCGCCGACCTCCCCGGCCCCGCTCCCTGCCCGGTGACGGCGCGGGGCCCCGCGGGGAGCGCAGCCCGAGCTGCGGGAGCGGAGCCGCGTTTGCGGTTGTCGGCCGATCGCCCTCCTGCTCCCCAGTGCCCGGGGAGATCGGGCGCTGCTCACGGGCAGTTGCACAGCCCGCGTTAGAGGGAGGACACCCGCGTGCCGGTCTGTCCAGCGGCAGGGTCCTTGGCCAGCTATATGGTGACCAGAGTGGAGACGCAGAAATGCTCGGACTTCTGGATTTACTTGGAGACGGGCACATCCCCGCAGGAGCACCGCACGGCTGATGGAGCGCCTCAGCCTGCAGGTGGATTTTGTGTCTCTCCCACGGCTCTCCCTGGGCTTGGCTTGGTTCTTCCCTGCTGCAGCTCTTTGCCGTTCCTGCCTCATAACTAAGCTGGCTGCTGGCTGCGTCCTTGTCACAATCCTACATGTCCCACAGTGACACCCTCCAGTTGAGGAGCCCCCTTCTGCGGAGCAGCAGCAGCAGCTCCCCGGGGTTGCAGCAGTTCAGGGCTGTCAGTGCTCCCTTCCTGCCCTGACCCAGTGCCCTGCAGTGCTCTGTGCCCATTGCCTTCCCAGCAGCAACCTGGTACAGCCGCTGCCTGCTGGCCTGCCTGTTTTCTGCATTCACAAGAGCTGGGGCTTTTTGTTTGCTGGAGTAGGAACAGGGCTGGGGATGAGCTAGCAAACCGTGCTTGTGCTTGAGCCACTGCTCAATGGAAAACACTGGGCTAGAGCTGGGGGTTCCTGTGGCTGCCTCTTGCTGTCCCTGTTGGCATCGTGCTGCTGAAGCTCAGTAAAGCTGAAGAGGTATTAAGCACTTCCCTGGGGCTCTGTGCTTCTCTGCTTGCCCCTGCCAAACATGCTGGGATCATCTGGGGTCCAAGGAGCTTGCTCTTATCTGTTGCAGACAATCTGTTCGGCCTGGAGGATGCAGAGAGAGTGCCACCACCCGTGAGGAGGAACAAGTACGGGGACATCGTGGAGTAGCCAGGAGCACGGTGTGCTGTGCCCACATCCTGCTGCTGCCCTCAGCCCTTCTGTCTGCTTGGTGTGCCCCTGCAGTGTGGGAGACATCTGCAGTGCTGCTGGGGAGCTCAGGAGACCCCCCAGCAGTTGTGTGTGAGCACCCAATAAAAGTCCTGAGCTGAATGCACACACTGTGAAGGAAGTCATGTCTGGCAGTGGGGTGGAAGGAGCTGGTGGCAAACGTCACCTGGACACATCCCCTCTGCTGTATGTTGAAGCAGAAAAATCTGGTCTCTCTGAGACCCCAGGAGTCACAGCCCAAGTGTGCTGGGCTGCGAAACATCTCTAGATGTGCACGTGAGGAGGCAGAGCTGCTGCCACACTCTCTGGTCACTGAGCATTGCTGATCACAGTCTCCCTGTGCTCATAACAGCACGACTTGTTTGCTCGCCCAAACGCTGCTGTCCTGAATCTTCTGCAATGCTGTCTGTCCCAAAGGGGGGGAGCAAGGTGTGCGTGCCCAGAGCCGGGCTGAGACACCCCGCTGGCCTCAGGCTCTGCCTCTGGATGCTGTACCCACAGGGAAGGGAATGCTCGAATGCCCAGAGAGGCACCCGGGAAGATCTGGAATTTTATGTCTTTTTTTTCTCCCCTAATTGCAACCCTTGAACGAAGCCCGTAGGTTAAGCCGGCAGCTCTGTGTGGATCTGAATCGGTTGCAGCTGAATTTCTCAAACGGGAAAACTAATGGGAAACCCGGGTGCTGCAGCAAGCCGCTTTCTTCCAGCGCGGCGGCAACTGTTCGTCTTCAGAGGGGGAACAGAAGCGCTGCCTTCCGCCTGAGATCCGGGCGCAGTCACTGAGCAGAGCCGCGGGAGGGAGCTGTGTGCTGGGAAAGGGGGAGGCGGGAGGAAACGTCGGAGCATCGTGAGTCGGAACCCTGTTTGCTCCTCCGTGGAGATGGGAAGCAGCTGTCAGAACAGCTGAAGTGAGAAAAGGGCTCATTCAGCAGAGCACGGCGCTACAGCAACGCGATGAGAGCAGGGCAGGATGTCAGTCGGTGAGGAAACCGGCGGAGCAGAAATGGTGCTGTGAGAATAGGGAGGGCAGCCAGAAGCTGCTTCTCTCCTGAGGAACGTGGCCGGGCAACGGGCTGTGAGCAGGTGGGATTGAGGAGCTAGGATGGCCTCTGTGCGGTTGTCCAGGTGGTTCTGTGGGCCTGGCGGCTCAGAGCTGCCTGCCCTGACAAACTGAATTTCTGCAGGCTGCTGTTCTGCCCTGTGTTCTGCCTTTCCTGTGTGCCCCGGGGCGCAGGGACTGCACAGAGCGGAGCTGCCTGCGTGCACCTTTGGGATGGCCGTGTTTGGGAAGCCTGAACTTCTCAGCTAGGCTGCCTGAAACTTCCATTTCCAGGTGGGCATGATACCAGGCTTTAAGCCCAGCTTGGACTCTCTTTGACGATTCTGCAGGCTACAAAGCCATGGCTGTGTCTGAGCACTGGGCAGGCTTGAAGGGAGCGAGCCCTTTGGGTAAAGCTGGGCGTGCAGCTGTGTCCCAGGGGAGCCCACCTGTGCCCCTGCACCTGCAGCACAGGCAGCCCTTGTCAGCCCGTTGCTGTCATACCAACAAAGCCACAGGAGTGGTTACACAGGTTTATTTCTGATTATAAAAAAGAACCAACAAAACAAAAGAAAACAAAGCCCACAAGCCTTCCTGCACATTCCCATGTCCCTGTTGTTTGTTTTTTCCCCACTCATTCAGAAATAAAGGCACATCCTCCCAGATGTCTGCCTTGGGGTGATGCAGGACTCAAACCCTCAAGCTGCACAAAGCCTTGCTCCTGCAGCAAGTTTGTACCCCTGTGGCAGCAGCTGGGAGCCCAAGGCAGCACTTGTGGCAGAGCTGACACTGGCACAGGGACTGCAGGAATGAGGAAGGCACTGCATCTGATTGCTGGGGGGCACAAGACGCTGCCTGCTCTGCTTGTTGCTAAGCCTCTACCTGATGGCCCTGAGCAGAGACAGGTGGAAGTCCAGGCCAGGATTTGGCCCTCAGGAAGTTCAGTGGGGTTTGTGCATCCACCAGAAAGACAGTTAAGTTCTGGGTGATGCCCAGAGCTCCCTGGAATGGCTGCGCTGGTTCTCCAGGGACAGGTAGTGAGTCGGCTGTAAGGACTAGAGTAATATTCCCCACCGTCCCCCTGTACGTGAGAATACAGTTGTCTGGGCTCACTGGCCCAGACCAGCCCGGGTCAAGAGGCAGACAGATACCCCAGGTATGAATGTCCACACCTCAAGCCTGCTCCAGCATCTGTCCCTGAGTAGCACTGGGAATCCCTTAAGACATTCTCCTCCTCTTTTATCCCCCTCTTTCTGTAGCTTGAAAGCAAAGGGAGGGCAAAAAGGGGCAGCTTTCCTTCTGGGCTATACAGCATCAGGTGTGAGGGAGAGTGTCTCCAAGCACTTGCTGAATCCCAAGTACTCAGGCCACGGAGACTCCAGCAGGAAGGATGGTGTTGGGTGCTGCAGAGAAGGCTGTCCTGTCCCAGGGTTAGATTGTGCTGGACTTGCTGCGCCGGAGCAGGTAGACAGCAGTCAGCAGAGCTGTCAGGGTGGTGATCACAAAGAGCAGGATGAGGATGACCCAGTAGTTGTACAGCATACTCTTGTGGGAAGCAGGCTCCTCTGCTGGGATCATGTTGGTGAGGTTCAGCATGTAGCCGAGGGCCCAACCGATGGAGGTTTCTCCTGCCTGTGGAAACAGCACAGCACGGTCACCGCTCCGGTCAGCCCAGCTCCGCGAGCCTCGGGGACCTTCCATTGTGAGTCCAGTGGAGGGCAGCTCCAGCAGCCTGAGTCCTTGCTCACCTGTGGGTCCGGCCAGCCCAGGCACAGAGAGTGCCCCGGTGGGTGAGTGTCCGTGTGTTAACTGGTCTCATCTGACGGGAGGAGGATCTCATCTGCCTGGGACAGTCCTGACCTCGCTCCCCACCCCACGCCCCACGTACGTGGTTGCACTTGGCAAAGTTGGGATCCTGCCCTGAGCTCACTTCCCAACAAGCCTGGGTTGTTTGAGATCTCTGCTGCTTGGAGGGCCAAGGAGGAACTGGTGGACCTTGAAATTCCTGACCCTGTGACAACCCTACAGTTAGGGTCATTTGTTCCCAAAATATATGCCCCAAAACTGGGAGTCCCATCCTGCTCCTGTTCCCGAGGACCTTCCCTCATACACCGCTCAGCTCTTGGTGTGGGTTCATCTCTCACTTTTTGTCCCAGTGTTGAATGAGTACCACGGGATGGCTGTGTGCCCTGGTGTTACCTACCTTTTTCTGGAAGGCAATACTGGGGAAGGAACGGTTGTTGAAGTTGTAGCCCTTTGTGATGAGCAGATAAACAAACATGCTGGTAGCACAGTAGTCAGGCAGCCTCTTCTCCAGCCTGGGAGCTTTCTGGTACAGCTGAATGGGACCATGGAGGAACAGAGAAAAGAGATCAAGCCAGCAGGGTTCAGGTAGTTTCTGTAGTCAGAGGCACCTGGCTGGCCAAGGTGCTACTCGTACCTTCCTGAGCCTCTTTCGGTCCCATGTGGGAACCACCACCAACCCTCTCCATCCTGCATGGGATGGGAGGGTGCCAGGACATCCAGGACCCTCTAAGGGCTGCTCTTGGAGCCTGGGGGATGCCCCGTGCAAAGCAGCCCTCTCCTCCCCCGTGTGCCTGGGAACCCACCTCATTCCAGCTGCTGGCACAGATGGTCTCAGCAGCGTCCTTCAGGTCACTGGGCAAGTGCACGGGTCTCTCCATCACTGTCTGGATGAAGTCCACCGTGTAGAAGAAGGCAGAGAAGGCCTAATGGAGGAATGGAAGCAGCTGTAGGACAAGCTGGGAGCAAACCTGCACCATAGAGAGCTGCTGTAACCAGTGTGGTGGGCACAAGCAACCATCCTTGCAGAGCTGCAGTCGGGTTTTGCTGCCATGTGACACCTGGGCCCCCACCACCCTGCTCTGCGCTGGAACTTACGATGAAGTTTCCCGAAACCTCAGGCTGGAAAACGCCATCGAAGGAGCAGCGGGAGAAGGAGCAGTTGGTGAAGTCAAAGAGCTTGCTGACGTGCACAGCACAGAGCTTCCCATTCCCGGTGCCGGACACGACGACGGTGGTGTTGAGGGGGAGGCCGGGCCGCTCCTTCTCCGTGCAGGGGCTGTCATAGATGCTGCTCAGTGACAGACTCTTGCGGTAGCCCGTGGGCCAGCAAGGATTGGCGACAGTTTCTTGGTAGTTCTCAGCCTGTCGGAGGAGCAACACACATCATCCCAGCTCTGCTGGGCCACAGCCCCAGTGCTGCATTGCCTCCGGTTCCTGGTGGGAGGTGCTGATGAGCCTGGGCAGCGGGACACAGAGGAGCACAGAACTCAGCAGTTGCCACCAGTGTCTGGAGATGATTGACACAGGCTTAAGGAGAGAGGAGGAAGCCCTGTGACTGTGGGAGAGGCTTAAGGGGCAAAAGCCAGTGTTGGCTTTTGAGTTGAGTTGCACCGAGTTGGCTGGGAAATACGTGCAGCTGGCCTGTCCTACCGAACAGGGCTAAGAGATGCCCGCAGGGGAAGCAGGAGGCCTGACTACGCTTGGGTTTCTTCATATCATCCCTCCCCAGACCCCACTGCTGAACCCAGGGGGCCAGCCACAAGTCCAAAGCAAGGTGCTTTAAAGGAGCCAGGTCTGGTACCTCCCACTCTGAATGAATGCTGGGGTGGTGACAGGCGAGCACGTGCCAATACCTGGAGGACCTTTGAGAGCAGCCTCTTGAGGACCTGGTCCCTTCCATAGCAGAGGAAGCTGTGGGTGTACACCTTGTATGGCTGGCCATACAGCTTCAGCATCACCTCATTTCTGGGATCTTCAATGGCATCACTGGTTTCAAAGGTGATCTGTGTGGAAGCGCCTCCGAAGTCCATGGCCCCCAGGGTCCTTTTCTTGGATTGGATCCACTCCCCAAGCCAACCACGCTAGGCAAGGAGACAGCAGTGGGTGTGGGACATGATGAGCTGCAGGACAGCCTGACTGCCCTACTGGCCCCGCTGCGTGCCCCTGCCCACCTTGATGAAGTTCTCCAGGAGGTAGTTTGCCGTGACCCAGCCAAACACCCCTTCCTCTTCCCCTGACAGGATCTTTGCTCCCCGGAAATCA